TGAATAAACTGCGTAAAAGAATATTAGTGAGGTCATAATTCCAAGAAGAAGAGCAAAGTACATCCCCATTTATATCCTGAGACTCTGGCAGCTAAGTATTTTGCTTCTGTGCTGTCAAAACCTGAGCTATGGAAGTTTATGTCAACATATGATTAAAATAGTTAGGTTTTTTTTTTATATGCCCAGAAATAGAAATATTTGACACTACCCAATATAGAGAAATAGTTGGTGAAGTTAACATATTTTGCTGAAATTGATAAATTAATTTCTTTGATTAGAAAATAGACATTATCTACATTCACTGCTGACTAGAAGCCTCTTATGGAAATTTTGTGTAAAAATGAAAAAAAATGAACTTGTGACTTATGGTTTTGACAGTTAGGATAGATAATAGAAAGAAGAGTAATGTGATGCAGCGTTAGAGATTAAAATGTATTTGTATTATAACTGCTGTGAAGAAGCCATTACTTTTTTCTTTCGTTTCTATTTTTCTTAACTTCTTTCTTTTCTTACACTATTTTGTTTTCTTTTTCCCTTTTAACAGCCAATTAGTTTGGGTTAATTTTTATCTATTTATTTAAAATAATATAAATTATTTTGAAAAATATGAAAGTAAATAGACTTCTGTTACTTGTGATACACTGACACCTATCAAAATGACCCAATTTTTTGAAAAACCAGGTGCAAATAAAAAACAAAAGACATATTAACTAGGTAAGATTTATATTAATAAAGACTTGATATTTTAATTTCTTTCTGATCTTCAATTAATATAGTAAGATTTCCCTATGTCATTTATCTATCAGTTTTTTCAGATTAATCTATCTGTATTTATCTTTTTCATTTCAGAAATATGCAAAAAAATCCAAGTCTACCAAAAGAAGCATTAGCAAAAATGTATTTTTAATTTTCTATATGTGAACAGCTAGCTAGGAAAGAAGTTAATATTAAAACTTATGAAATTTTCAGTTATATTGATTAACTGAAGTCTTCAACACTCTGGCATCATATTAATATAATCTCCCAATATTGAAATGCTTAAAAGCACTAAAAATATATCCAACCCATGAACAAATAATATAAAAAGCAATTATTTTGCTAGAAAGTTGGAACAAGATTTATCTATATATTTATTCCGAAAAAATATAGATGAATCCCATAAAAGTTCTTACAATGCCAATGTTTAGCTATTTAAAACATAAAAAAACAACTCTGTTAGTACCTTCACTTGTGGTTTTAGCATACGAATAAAATATGATCATCTATTGAGTAACCATTTTGTAATACTGCAATAATAGCATCATTGTTAGATGTGGTTATTGGCATGTGGAGACCATACTGGATTTAACATTTAATTACTAAGTTGTATCAGAGAGAATGGTTTAGATTTGTACTATTTCATTAAAATGTAGAACAGACTTGAACTAACAGTTGCTTTGAAAATCCACTGTGGTTTTGCAGAAACTCCAAACTGGAAAAAGAAGTCTGAAAGCCCAGTTTAATGAAAAGCAAACACACTGCTGAATTTAAGCATGTTTCAAGCAAACTATGTGGAAATATGCATTAAACCATCATAAGCACTAGACTTCCAATTTTTCTTTTTTTTTAATGATAAAATGTAGTGAATCTTTTTATTAATATCAATATGATTTTTTAAAATGGCTATAGTTCTAGTTCAACATCTTTTAAAAAAGCACATAGGGCTGCTTTTCTAAACCCCATCAGTCAGCAAAGCAGATAAACTACACAGGGTTTTAGACATGAACTCGTTTTTATAAAAGAATCATACCAGAATCACATTAAAGCAACAGGACATTTCTTTAATTCTAATGCAATCTTGAACTTTCAGCATGAAAAATCTATTCAGATGTTTCCTGATTTATAGAAACCATTTTATTTTATGTTGTTAATATAGCTTTCTCAGAACCTTATCATTCCGAAGAGAAAGCAGAATATTATATAAAAGTATAATAGAGTTGGTGGTCTTTCTGTTTTTCTAACTCCTGGAAATTAACAGATTTTAAGACTATTTACCGTATTTTCACCCATATAACCCGCGGGTTATATGCGTTTTTTGCATGCACAGCGCCCCCCTGCGGGTTATATGCGTGGGCGGGGTATACGGAAAATATTTTACACGATCGGAGGCTTGCACAGGCTTCTTTCTCCGTTTCTTCCCCCCCATCTCAGCTGTTTCCCTTCTCTTTTACTCGTCGCGGGTTATATGCGTGGGCGGGGTATACGGGAAATATTTTACACGATCCGGAAAACCCGCGGGTTATTCGCGTGTGCGGGTTATTTGCGTGGGCGGGTTATATGGGTGAAAATACGGTATCTGAAGTAAAATGATTTTAAAAATTACTGAAACTAAAAGATTTACATTATTTAAAAATATATTTTGTGCATATTAATCTATGTGAAAGTGTAATGATGGAAAGAATATTAGAGCATAATATGGAACATTTCTACGCCTGTTAGCCAATATTTCCTTTGGAAGTACTCAATTCTGCTTCACCTTCTTTCCCTTGAACATATAGAGTAAGTGAACATAGCTGAATATTTTGAGATCTGATCTCCACGATTCTAAGTTTGCATCTCATACTTTTCTTATCCAATGCAGTTTCATTTCTCAGTGTTAAGTTCCATTCTATTCATTTCAGCTCATATAGCACAGACATTTTTAATCTTCACTCTTATCTACAGTATCACTTCTCAGTGCAAACTTTCTGAGTATGCTTTAACCTCTTCATTCATACTGACAAAAAAGTTGAACAGCACAGAGCCAAGACAGAGCCTTTGACATTCTAAATTTTATATCCCACCAAGCCATGTGGACCCATTGAGCACTGTTTGAATATAGTTATTCAGTCAACTAATCACATATCCTTTGAACAATAATATCATCTACCAAGTAGTGAAATTCATTTTTTTTACTACCGGTTCTGTGGGCGTGGCTTGGGGTGTGATATGGCTCGGTGGGCGTGGCAGGGGAATGATACTGCAAAATCTCCATTCCCACCCACACTCTGAGGCCAGCCAGAGGTTGCATTTGCCAATTCTCCGAACTCCTCAAAATTTCCACTCCAGGTTCTCCAGAACCTGTCAGAAGCCACTGGATTTCACCCCTGCATTTACCCCATATTTACCATTTTATTCAAGTATGCACATGAGGCACTCTGACAAAGACTTTGCCAAATAAACTGGCAAAGATATCATCTAGGTAAACTAATCTATGACATGCCCAACTAATTCTTATAACACAAGGAGATAAGCTTAGTCTTGCAAACTTTTTTGTGACAATCCCATTTTGGCTCATGTTAATGCTACGTGCATATCCAACTGTTACTAGATAATCTGTTCAAAGAATATTAATATTTTAATTATGACTTTTTATGTATTTTATGTATTTATAGTTTTTTAATTAAGTGTTGTACATCATCCAGAGTCACTTTCATGTAAGATTGGCAGATATACAAATATGATAGATAAATAAATGAGAAAAAACACAGATTTTAAACAAACAAATCTACAGTTTTTTCTCCTTATTTCCCATTTTGAAAATGAGGAAGTAATCTGAAGACCTCATTCTTCAGCTACCTGACTAGTACTCTAAGAGTCCTCAAAGATTATGAAAAGCAGATCTGTGGTCACCCTCTAGTAATCTAAGAAGATAATTCATCTATCCCAGGATACTTGGATGTGCATTAATTAGCTACATAATCATCTTTTTGTCTTCCCCAAACTACAATTTCCTCCCCCAAGCCAAGTGCCATAATGTTGACAAGCTGAGGCTCCATTTTCCTTCCATGAGGAGAGAGATGCAGATTAAAAATTAAAATATTCTGCCTCCTCACCACTATCCATTATGAAATCACCATTTTTTTCCTAGCAATGAACTGTATGCTCTTTGTATTTCCCTTTATTTCTAAAACATCCCAAGACTTTTTTTTGTCTATTTTTGGAATCTCTTACAAGCCTCCACTTATGTTGAACTTTAGCCCTTTTTATAGGCAGAAAAAATGACCTTGAGGGACAGGAGGAAGAGTTACAACCAAGACAACAATTAGATAAAACAAGTTTTTTGATAATTGTAGCAGAACTGTAATAAAAGAAAATGTCTCAGATAAGACATGTCTCCTTAGTTCTCACAAATATAAACTGAAAGAGGAGAGAAGCATATTCAGACTTGCAAGGTTATGTCTTTATAATAAAACTAGTATTGGCCTATGTGATTTTGGTTTCCTAGTCTGGTGTACCTCAAAAGGCTAACGTCAATCTTGTAAGTCTATCAAAGAACTTCTTTGTCCAACCTCTGATTACTTTCCCTGTTTACTAGCTAACTTTATATAAATAACATTGAAAACAATACAGGGTCTGGTGGCAGCTCTCAAGTGTTATTTTCTGGATTTACTGAGGGTATAGAAATGAAATTATTGAAGCTAATGTTCTCAGTCAGCATATTTAACTGGAAAGGATTGATATTAGAATTTGTTGAGTTACCAGGTAAGGGTAATAGATTCTCACCAAACAGGTTATCAATCAGTGCAATCAAGACAATTAATCAAGCCAGACACAAGAGTGAGATATTTTTTAAGATAACTGGTATCTCCCAGAATATTTATGGTTGGATTGTTGTGATCCTCTCATTTACCTCACAAAGGAATATATTCACCATAATCACGTTTGTTTTTTTAATTTTGGGACTAATTCCTGTGACTATACTAATGTTTCCTTTACTAGAGAAAACCACCCTGTGATATAATGATGTCTTGACCACTCCATAACGATTTCTGGAGGCTCTCGTCCAGAGAGCCGAGACCATGCAGATAACCTAAATTACCCTGGGCCAAGAAAACATGCAATGGAAAAAATCACTATAAATCACTATCAGTGTCTCAGGCTGCAAAATATGAAACTATCTCCTGAAACTTGAACAAGACGATGCATGTTCTACTTCATTAATAACACTAAGATAGCTGTTTTTCTATCAGGCAACTTACTCATCCTTCATTATCCACTATGGGAACAAGACAAATAAAAAAGATAACAGAAACAGACATCAAAAGCAGTGATGTTGCTTACAATATAACATTGCACATAGTAAGTAAGTAAGATCTTTATTATGGTCAAAGACCAGCAATATACATTTGTCCTTACACTATAT